ATATATATATATATATATATATATATATGTAGCAGTATGCATTAAAAATCCTACAATAAGAGTCGATTAAGCGGATAAATTGAGCTCATTTTATGTTACCATTTTTTTCTTTTTTGAATTATTTTCATAGAACATTTTTTTGAAATAATATTGTAATTTAGATGTTTATGAAATAACCTCTCGTCGGGTTAATGTTTCATACCTTTATTTAAATGATATTTCTGGAGTACCTGTAATTTTACATTTCGAAATACATGAATCCTACTGAGTCTTGATTCCTTTGTTGTCATTATTCTAACGATAAATAATGCCGAGAACTGAAAAAAAAAAAAGCAATAATCAGAGAAGAGCGACTTAAATTAAGATCTCTCTGGACATGTTTGGAAATTTCGAAATGCGTATATACGCCACTTGGCTTCAGGTTGTTCTTTGTATGTGTCAATTACAAATCAGAGTGAAATGAAGACAAAATGAATTCAACAGTTTGTTCCGTAAACCTGTCTTCATGAAGCTATCAGATTTCAGCATCACGATGCTTCTATCTTCCAAATATCGCACTGAGCGGTGGTACTTACGATGAATTCAATGCAAATGATATTAAGGTAATACTGTTTCCTGCATCAAATACTGTGAAAAATGTCCGAGGCTTCTTTGATTTAGTTCGTCTATGGTTTTCATATGCTCACATGAAAGGTAGAAGCTTGTAACAAGAGGTAAAATTGGCATTCGTCTAACAGTGACAATCAATAGGCTTTTGCAAAAGGAAGGGTATCGTGATTTGTAGGATTACCGATGAGTAGAAATGAAACTTGGAAGTCTTTAACACAATACAGTATTTGCAGTGTCGCGAAAACATCACATTTTTATTAATAGAAAAATTAAACTTCTTTTTTTATTCATTTAGTACAATAGAGTAGAAATTATTAGAAATTATTTAAGAAATATTCTTAAATAGTAGAAATTATTTAGAAATTTTTTTTTAAAGAGATATGGTAGAAATTATTTAAGAGATGTTGCATAGCATGTGCTCGGGATCACTGCTGTCTTGGTTATACGTTCAGTAAAGCAAGAAAGCGATGTTATTTGAAATCAGCAATGTCCGATTCCGAAATGAATTATGAAACAATCAGTGGTTTAAAAGCGAATACTCACTCAGGTAGACATTTTTCATTTTTCATATTACACGTTACTCATATTCTAAAAAACCACTTTCAGGAAAGCCTAAAACAAGACAATATAAGTAACATGGAATGTGATTTAACCACGTTTTTAGTTACACTGTAATAGTATGTCCTGATAACGGACTGTTGGAGTTTAATTTTACCAAGACAGAAAGGGTACTTTTAAATTTGTTACAAACAGTAGATCTTGCAAAATTCATGGAAAACTGGTTTAGAAAGTAATTTAGACGAAAAACTCTCAGTTGCTTCTTAGCTGTATTATTCTTAGCTGATCAAAGTTTGTTTTAGGACAGGGTTCATTTTTGAAAAACGTGAAGATAGAGGGTGGCGCAGCAGCGGTAGTACGTTTTAGGAAACCCGAAGAATGCCAGCAATATTGTACAGGTTAATTCATGTGTGATCTGAGCAATTAGGAACAGTGATCTTGTAAATGTAATGGTCTTTGAAACGGATAAAATAACATTACGTAACCAAATAATCTTTCTTATATACATAAAAAGGTATTAGGAAAACTGCAAAACTGTTAACATCTGCATCTACTGACATGTCAAAAATTCACTTTAGTTCAAGATTTAGCCTATGGCATATATTCATGGAGTCCACCATCTCCGGAAGAGGAACAGGAAGAAGGACATTGTGTATGCATGACTCGGATCCAATCACTTCAGTATTCATATGGATCCCGTTCTGCCATATTTCCACCTGTTGCATCAATTAGTTGAGTTCTGTTCAGTATTCATTTGCTTCATTACTTATATTTATGGAATGTCAAGAAATTAGTGTCCTAAAAATTTAAGAACTTTCAAAAGTATTTCATATTACATGTCTGTGCACCGTAATAATTTCATTTCAGTGGACCGTAATAATTTCATTTTCGTAATAATTTCATTTCAGTGGACCGTAATAATTTCATTTTCGTAATAATTTCATTTCAGTGGACCGTAATAATTTCATTTTCGTAATAATTTCACTTCAGTTGCTGCAGAAACAAATTTCTTTCTTGTCATCTTTTCATTAGCTCCTTTTTCCATATTCATCCATCATTTAAATGAATTTGCATTTCTGAATTCATTTTAGAACTCTGGAACCTTATAAACTTATAATATTTATAACGTCTAAACATTACAAAGACTGTTAAAAGCTGAGTTCTGATTTCCAACAATTCAAATGCATTCAATGAATGCCACATCAAAAGAAATCTAATTCTGCAATAAAAAATTTAGCAGTTCTTAATACCACTGATCTCCCGCTGGAATAGGTGTCTTAATCATTTTTTAATAAGAATTAAATCCAATTTCAGGTAAAATTCAATTTTTTGGATTCATACGACTAAGTAGAAAAACAAATTGAGGACTAACATATCCCAGAACAAAATTGATGTTAATTAAACCTACTCATTAAATATGAGACGTTCTAACAATGCTTTCTTATATTCATATTAGTATTGGTGCTCTTTTTTAAAGCAATAATTATTTCCAGTAAATCAGATTATTTAATCCGATAGTAATAAGAATTGAAGTTTTCTCTCTTGTTTTATAGAGAGTTTTTCAAATTTCTGTATCGTTTATAATTTGAAAAGCAAGCCTCCTTGAAAAACTCTTACGTATCTTTATCAACAACTTAATATTTCCTCATTTATGTTTTGAGATCCTTTAGACACCGACGTTCCTTTTCCTGTTTTTGAGTTGCAATTTTTCTCATGAACTGTAAGTCCCTTTAAACATAAATAATTATCAAGTTATAATTTCCCATTGCATTAAAACCTCGACTGACCTATGCTGTTTGGGACGCTAATAATTTGATGTTTCTATGCTGTAACGTGAAATATTTGTTTCATTTTTTACGGACTGTGTATGGATCTCGTTAACTGGTGCTATGACCAATAAACTCATCATTGTCATATTTTGAAATATTTTTAAAACAGCTTAAATGTTCCCTTCATCTCTTAATTTTCATTAGAAATTTTCACCATTCCTTTCAGTAAGAGAGTTAGCCCTTCGAAGTAAAAGCATTAGTATAAGTAACGCGAAGACAATTACCATTTATGTTAGAAAAGAATTCAAAAGCAAATTTAAATAATTAGGTGTTAGTTTACAGTAGTGATAGATATTGCAGAATGAAATATACATATAATTCGTCATCACACTGGTTTCTAACATGAATTGCATGGATAAATCAAATGTGGCAGTAGTTTTTAGGAAGTAAATGGAATAACTAATTAATCTTTGCCATTAAACGAATGGAAAAGATGAAAATGTTGTCAGGGGAATCCTTCTTCTGTTTAATTTCTTTCAAGACGTTCCCATCCGGCTTAAATGTGATTGCAACATTATTGCTCGATGTGATGATCAACGAAGATGATGTCCTTTACTGCTATTCATTGCTTTCGATAATATATAATCCCTTGTGAAATGTAAAGGAAGTGTTACAAATGGCACTGATTTTAAAAGCCTCTGTATAGAAAAAGAAAGATTTTATTGCTAACATGTTAATGTTGAGTGACATTTGCTTCAATTTCAACATAGTAACCGTCCGATCTGGATATATCCTACCACCATCAGTTTTTTGTGGCCAAACTGAAAGTCTTGATTAAATTTAATAAGAATGTGATCTAAAATTGTGCAAAAAGTCGTTACACATATGATCACTTGTAAAATCAAGCGCGCTAGTTATTCAGATAGCAATGCACTACACCCATTAGATGCATAGAAAGGCCTAATCAACTTTTCCGGAAAGTCTGGAGATTGAAAACTAATGGTCTTCCAGAGAACTAGCTAACTACAACCAGCTACACAACCACCAGTATAAATGCACGGCCGTTTAATAGTCAAGAACAAAAAAAAATTAAGGGTATACCTTTTTAGAAATGCAAAATAGATAAAGCAGAAAAACTGGTCCACTTTTCTCGAGAAGTGAATGAAAAAGAGTACATCATTAAGAGTAACAGATTAGACAAACGTTAGACTATCAGGAGAGAAAATTAGTAGTCGGACATATACCAACCGGAAAAAGTATTCTCTCTTGGCATCAAAATCCTCCAATCTGATCCTGTTCTCGTGAAACGGCCTAAAAGTGGCCAACTTATTAGCAGCATGAACAAAAATTCTGTATTTCCCTGATCAAAGTTGTTTCGATTGTTTGTTAAGTGATTTGTGCAATGTCTGCTAGAGAGGGGGAGCATGACCTGCTATTTTCTCTAGTGTTTGAGAGTCCAAGCTCTACTAAGTAATATTCAGTGTCAGACGGTCATGAAAAGAACAGCTGCACAAACTAATAGTTTTAAAATGACTATTAATGGATTGTTGACGACTGGAAAACAACTACTATTTGAATCGCTTCATTCTTGCATGAAATTCAACTTGCAATATTTCTGATTTCTTATTCTTTATATTTAAGAAGCTCATAATGCTAACTTCAGTGGATGGTCTATTCTTTCCATGTTGCAATAGATGACCGTTTGACCTAACATCGCTTTTACACTTGTAACTATGTTGAATACTTGAAATGGTTTCCCAGAACAAACCATCCTTTAATGCATTTCAGTTTGGTATTTGCAGAAGAACGCATTGGAAGCGTTTCCTTCTGTTGCCAGAACTACTACCATCACTATATGTTGTCGTTAATGAATTAAATTTGTTGTAACATTTTCGGCGTCAATATTGACTGATTTTGCAAGCACTGAATTTACTGGATGAAAGTTAATGCGCAAGCAAACAAGTAGATAAGCTAATTTGCCTGTCTATTCCTTTTTTTTCATTGAAAAAAACTTGCAGAAAAAGGACTACTGTCATTCTTGTCACAGGAATTGTCATACTAAAAGCTTGATTTCTCTTCTTTGGAGGTGTTACGTTTGAGAGGTTATCGGTAAGTCATATTACTGCTTAGCTGCCATACCTTTTGAGGAGAACTACTTGAACAGGGCAACCTGACCACCCTATGTAATTGCAATGCAAGTGTAAAAATGAAAAGTTAATAAACTAGTAATTTCATGACTGCCTGATTCGATGCCATTCAGAAAACTTGGTTAACTCAAGCTCCGTTCATCCCCATAAATAGTTGGATGTGGCAACGGAAGCAATAACAATATCAGAATCCATATGTTGTGGGTAGTGAACGTATTATTGGTGATACGTCGAAGTTAATGTGTATTGCCTCATGCCATTTACGCCGAAATTCACTGGTTTGGCTTCCAGAAGGGGAACAGATGGCGAGCAGTGAACGAACCAGTTTTCTTACACCATCATATTCTCTTATTACAACTTACTCTCTACCCCTTGATGTCCTTTCCTTTGTGTGCAATTTTTCTGATATATTGGTACCAAGTGTTCCATTGAAATTATATTAAATACCAGCTGTATCAAGCCATGCGTTGCCAGGCAACGCATGGCTTGATACAGCTGGTAGCTTTGTTAAATTGAACAGAATTGTTAAATGCTGTTTTTTTATTGTCCCATTGTTTGCGCAGATACAGAGACTGTCTGGTTTGTCAATTCTAGAACATGCAACTCCCCATGTTCTAGAAACAATATAACTGTCCATGTGAGAAGCAATCTGTGTCTAGATCTAAACCTCACAATCTCAAAGGTTGGCCCTGAGCTTTGTTGTTGATGATTGCAAACGCCAATCGAACTAGGAATTGCAATCTTTTGAATTGAAACGGCATATCCGTTGGAATCATAAGAATGCAAGGGATGAGGACGTCTTCATCTTTGAAAGGTCTTGTCAAGATTGTTGCTTCTACGACGTTGCTCATCAATTTTTTACTACAACCCGCGTGCTTACAAAGCTTTGG